GTGAACCTATCCTGGATAGTGATGCGCTTCAGCTGGCTGATCACGTGTCGTCAGGAACCAAGTCAAAGGGCTCCTTATTTAACACCAGCACTAGTTGAAGATATTATCTGCAAGGTTGTTCACGCCTCACAGTGGCGGCTTTCATCTGTGGATGGATAACACCTGCCCTATTTGCTGGGCAATGGCGTATTCTTATGAGTACGGTAAGCGCAGTTCTGCTTCCTTTCGGCTCTGCACGTGTCCGCGTACTGAGGAGGATGGCGTCCCTCCAACCCACGCCAAGTCGGCGTTCATAAAACAAATTATTGTTTCGAACATTAATATTTCTCGCATTTGCGTTTGAAATGTTAAAGACTGGACGGGTTTATTATTTAGAGGAACAAAATATTATTATTTACCAATCTAAGAATAGTAAATATATAAGGGAGAGGAATTAATGTCTCCCCATGGCATTCATTGATGACGTTAACTCTATCGCGAGGTAGACGCTATGATTCTAACGCTCTATTCGGCTTTTAGTTAGAGAACAATTCGTCTGCAATCAGTTATCATACAGAATGCTTTAATTGTGGAGAATCGTATTTAATTCTCACACAAATTGGATATAATGTGTTTACTGCAAGGAAATCTGACGCAATACTGGCGTCAGGTGACGTGAGAATTCTAGCCTAATGCACAGATGAATTATTAGTACATGAGAATTCTACGAGTTGTTAAATTTACTTACTACAATATTTAGTATGGTTAGTAATAAGTAATGAGAATACAACAATGTTGTGTTCGGTGTTGGAAATATCCAACAGGGCGAGACCTGTTCTGGTATTCACAGATCACAACCCTCTCACCTTTTTATACAAAATGAAGAACTCCAACCAACGCCTGACGAGGTGGGCGTTGTTACTGCAAGAGTACCGGCTGGAAATCAAGCACATCAAGGGAAAGGACAACGTAGTAGCAGATGCCCTATCCCGTATACACTAACCAGACATGACTCTTATTTTAAGGGGAGGGGTATGTGACGGTGTTCCCCCCCTTATATTTCTCCCACGCCTGCAATAAGAGTGATGTCCCCTTTACCCAAGCGTTCTCTACGTCGCAGGCATCAATTTGATATATGTGGGAGAGTGGAGTGTTCTCGGAGAGTCGAGAAATTTGTGAAACAATAATATTTTGGCCTGTGGTTTAGGCCCTTTAGGAAGCCAAGATGGCGCTGGCTCTCCTGTTTCCCCGCCAAAACTGTGTGACGTCAGTGACACCGGATTGGTCACCGACAGCAATGTGGCACAGGGAGCCAATGAAAACCTCCCGTGGCGAAAGTGACGTCACGAAGGAAGGGGGTCCGGGCAGCACGCCGCGTTGGCGCCATCAGTCAGACACGACACGTCAAGGAGGTTGGACGTGCGACGATTGGTCCTGTCAGTTTGACAGTTGTTTCCCGCTCCCGTGGAATTTACGCGTCACCTGAAGTCTGCCAGTACTCTGTGAGGTATTCCTTAGTTCATGTGTTGAACCAGAGAGGGAATCGACGGTTATTGAGCAACAAGTGCTCCAGGACAGGTACTGTGCAAGAAGAAGTGAAGTCTGTGCAGTGACATAGTCGAAGTCTGAAGCAGTTCACCCATTCGTGACGGCGTAGTGGCTGACCAGAGCCACTGGGTAGCAGAGGAAGACGAGGACTATTTGGGAATCCGGACGACTGCAGCCGAGAAGTAGGCGGGCAGCCATAGCTGGGAGAAGTCGACGGCCAGGAGACCGACTCCAACCCTACAAGAAGTCGAGGAGGAGCACGGACCTGCAGGTAAGAAGGCACGGAGACGACGCGCTAAACGGTGGGACAGCGATTGGGTTCCTGGAGGACACAACAACGTGTGTGTGGGGGCGTTCCCGACACGAGGACCAGGAGCTACAACTCAACTCTCATCGGAAGATAGGTGGAAGTAGGTGTTTCTAGTTTCCCTCACCATTCCCCTTTAGTCAGCTATATTATTTAGCCTAAGGATTTTGTATGTCGTGAGCAAGTCTCACCTATGTCACAGTAAGGCACCAGTGTGCAGAATAGTACTATCAAGAGTACTCACGATACTTATATATATTATTATTGGTGTGTACAGGCACCCGGATTAAGTGATGAATTTACTGTGTTGAGAATTCTTTCATGAGACTTTGATGTGAACATATAGTGAGAAATTATATATAATATTATGTCAGTATTTGGAAGTTAGGCTATGTGCCCAGTAACTATTTATTTACCATTTATTGATGTCTGATTTATCTATATTATATATGTCTATGTTCGTGCATTGAATAACCATTTGCGAGTGCAGTGATTTATTGTGTTATCGCCCACGAAAGGAAGTACTGAGAACTCCAGTGTTAAATACTTCATAAGATATCATTGAAATGAAGGGCAGTGTATAAAACCATTACAGTGAATTATTGTCGCATTTATTATAGAAACGATTGTTTGAGCCCACGTACAGTGTAGCGAAATAATACGTGCTATTGTTGCAAATATCGAGTGTGCGAATTTGTAGTGATCTTTGAGAACTTAAAGAAACAGCACGCGTGCCGCTAGAGAAACAAGCAATAAACTTTCGCGCGGGAAGGAGGGCGCTCAGCTGATTGTGACATTGACGAGAGGGGGAGAGTTGCCACCGCAGTGAGTGTATAATATACGTGGGAACGACCGACTCCCGCCTGGATCAGCTGATTATTAATTGATATGACCTTGTGACATCTTTGAATGAATTTTTAAGTAAAATACAAAATACTTTTGTGTTTCTATCATCCCCTCCATTTATCTTGTGGCTATATTATACTTGAAAGCAAAGAGTGATAAAAGTAAGTACCTGCCTGATTCCTGATCTATTGAGTGTGACCTTGCCAAGGATACCACAATTCAACCAGTCCACTGACGTGTTACTGGACACCAAAAACACCAGTTGGCGACCTTGTGGTTAATAGTAAAGTCCTATTGTTGGGGCGGGCACATAACAGTTAAGTGAACGAGTTGTGTTCCAACTCCTTCTGAATCAGAGGCCGGTTGGGATTGACTGGGATACTCTCCTGGCGTGCAGTGGCGCCGAGAGGATTAGAGTGAAGACCCGCAGGGCTACGGTGAGTGACATTGAAAGTATACTGTTGATCACCCGAGAGTAAGTGTAAACCCCAACATCAGCTATATTATTCAACTATATTATTTAGCCTGAGGATTTTGTATGTCGTGAGCAAGTCTCAACTATGTCACAGTAAGGCACCAGTGTGCAGAATAGTACTATCAAGAGTACTCACGATACTTATATATATTATTATTGGTGTGTACAGGCACCCGGATTAAGTGATGAATTTACTGTGTTGAGAATTCTTTCATGAGACTTTGATGTGAACATATAGTGAGAAATTATATATAATATTATGTCAGTATTTGGAAGTTAGGCTATGTGCCCAGTAACTATTTATTTACCATTTATTGATGTCTGATATATCTATATTATATATGTCTGTGTTCGTGCATTGAACAACCATTTGTGAGGGCAGTGATTTATTGTGTTATCGCCCACGAAAGGAAGTACTGAGAACTCCAGTGTCAAATACTTCATAAGTTATCATTGAAATGAAGGGCGGTGTGTAAAACCATTATAGTGAATTATTGTCGCATTTATTATAGAAACAATTGTTTGAGCCCAAGTACGGTGTAGCGAAGTAATACGTGCTATTGTTGCAAATATCGAGTGTACGAACTTCTAGTGATCATTGAGAACTTAAAGAAACAGCGCGCGTGCCGCTAGAGAAACAAGCAATAAACTTTCGCGCGGAAAGGGGGGCGCTCAGCTGATCGTGACATTGATGAGAGGTGGAGTGTTGCCACCGTAGTGAGTGCATAATATACGTGGGAACGACCGACTCCCGCCTGGATCAGTTGATTGTTTATTGATATGACCTTGTGACATCTTTGAATGAATTTTAAGTAAAATACAAAATACTTTTGTCTTTATATCATCCCCTCCATTTATCTTGTGGCTATATTATACTTGAGAGCGAAGAGTGATAAAAGTAAGTACCTGCCTGATTCCCGATCTATTGAGTGTGACCTTGCCAAGGATACCACAAATTCAACCAGTCCACTGACGTGTTACTGGACACCGAAAACACCAGTTGCCGACCTTGTGGTTAATAGTAAAGCCCTATTGTTGGGGCGGGCACATAACAGTTAAGTGAACGAGTTGTGTTCCCACTCCTTCTCAATCAGAGGCCGGTTGGGATTGACTGGGATACTCTCCTGGCGTGCAGTGGCGCCGAGAGGATTAGAGTGAAGACCCGCAGGGCTACGGTGAGTGAAGTTGAGCGTAACGGTTGCTCACCCAGAGTAAGAGTAAAAGGTAAACCCCAACACTCACACATGTAGGCTCAGTGCCACAAGAGTATGCCCTGGGATTTGATGAAAAAATTTACTCACGACACATTTCTTTCTTAGTGGCCTTCTTTGGGGAATTTCTTGTACTCTACGATCTTTTTTTTATCTGTTGGTCTGATGAAGACACCGTCTTTGACATATGCCTAAGACTTTTTAGAGTGAAATCTTGCAGGAACTCGAAAGCTTCTGACTCCTTATGTAACGCTGTGACAACTTGCTTCATAAGCCCAAATTTTATGTACAGTGGTGGGATTAGTATCTTCTGGGGATCCTCCCTGGCTCCCAACTGGCTTTGTTCTTCCCCACAGAGAATTTTATCTCCTATGGACAGACCTCTTTGGAGATCAATCAGAAACGTGACCCGTTTCAAGGTTCCAATGACGTCCCAGCCGGACTTAAAGGCGTCCAGCAATCACTAAAGCAAAGTTTAAGAAATAATAGCAATTTCCAATAATATGAGACATAAGCAATTACAAAATAAACTACTCAATAAAAAAACAATTGTCACACATTGTTAAAGACGTGGACTGCTGCACATCACCAAAGCAGCATCTACAGAGTGAACTTAACAGGTAGATATACTCACGCAGGAGAAATGTGCACCAGACGACAATGGTCACCAGGATCCCGAGCGGCAGTTTTAGTGAAGTCTCCCCCACGTCTGGCAGGTGACAGTGTTGTCCGCTGAACCCCGCCGGACACGCACACATAAAGCCTTCACAGAGAACGGAATACCATTAGACGAGGGTAACTTAAAAGAAAGAAAAAAATCTAAACGTCTCATTATTAGGTGTAACAGAATTTCACTCATGAACATTAGAAACATAGGAAGTAGTGGCAAATTCCAAGTCAATTATAGAAGATGAATAAGATGAATAGACAGTCCAAGTTAGTTGGAAGAGTAGGCAATGCAAATCAGGTGGATGAATAGGCATTCGAGGAGAAATGGGATAAGACCAAGTTAGTTGGATATGCAATCCGTCAGGTGGATGAATAGGCAGTCCAAATCAGGTGTATGGGCCCACAAGAGAGGGGTCCATATAAGAGGGGGGCCCACATGGGAGGGGCCCCCCACAAGGGAGGGGCCCCACAAAGGAGCGGCACCTGAGGAAGAGGCCTAGAAGAGAGGGGACCAAGGGGGAGGGGCCGATGAGAGAGGGACCCACAAGGGAGAGTCCAACAGGGGAGGGGCCCACACGGGACGGCGTTACAAGGGACGGGCCCCAAAAGAGAGGGTCCGACAAGGGAGGGGCCACACAAGGGAGAGGCCTCCACAAGGTGGGGCCCCTCAAGGGAAGGGACCCACAAGGAAAGGGCCCTACAAGGAAAAGCCATATAAGGAAGAGGCCCCCCCACAAGGTAGAGCCCTATAGGGGAAGATCCCGACAAGGAAAGTCCCTCAAGGGAGGGGCCACACAAGGGAGAGGGCCCCCACAAGGCAGGGCCCCTCAAGGGAAGGGACCCACAAGGAAAGGGCCCACAAGGAAAAGCCCTGTACGGGAGAGGCCCCCCACAAGGTAGAGCCCTATAGGGGAAGATCCCGACAAGGAAAGTCCCTCAACGGAGGGGCCACACAAGGGAGGGCCCCACAAGGTAAAACCCCACAAGAGAGGGGCCCAACAAGGGAGGACCCTACAAGGGAGGGCCCTACAAGGGAGGGACCCTACAAGAGAGGGGCC